CTTCTCGCCTCTCATCTCCTCCTCCCCTTACTGCAGCTTGTTTTCCTGTCTGCTTGTCTTCTCTTTCCTACACAGTCTCTTACCTTATTATTTTCATTCATACACACTCTTTTTTCATCCCCTATTTCCTTGCCCCTCTCTTCCACCCGAATAATACACCAAACAAAACGATGATACATAGAGTTATTTCATATATATTTAACTTGATCCTTTAAGTGCTTTTTCACTCGTTAAACGAGTGTTTTCCCCTCACTCTCTTCCCCATCCCCCCCGCACTCACAAACACACACACATACACCCCTCCCCACCCCCCAACTCTCACTCTACTTGTATTTTTCCCGTGTGCTCACTTCTCTAGGAGAGAGAAAGAAAGAGAGAGAGAGAGAGAGAGAGAGAGAGAGAGAGAGAGAGAGAGAGAGAGAGAGAGAGAGAGAGAGAGATTATGGAGGTCAAGGAACCCCGCCAGTTTGTCGCAGACACCAGACAGCTGGATTAGCCGGTCCGGGAATTCCCAACATTACGACAGAATCGGGAAAACAAAATATTAACGCCCATCGAATAATAAGTGCATGCGCACACTGCGTGGGGGACATTGTGCTAAGGACTTTGTTACTATAACCAGAGAGTATTTGCTATAACCTAGGCCTAGCTGATCCGAAGAAAATCCACCAACCCTTTCTTATTTCCGCCAACGTATCCTGTATTCTAATTGTAAATAAAATTAACTAATTAATGAGACAGCTGTTTACATGACTGTTTTGAATGACTTGTCAACTGACCTCTGCCTGTTTTTTTTTTCTTCCATAAAGCCATTGTGATGAAAAGTGCGCACTTGAACAACCTCTGTCGCCCGCGCAAACTGATATTGCTATGACTAATACATCACAGGCATTCATAAAGGCTGGAGCGCTGTTGTTTTTAAAAAAATTTAAATTTAAATAACAAATCAGTTTCAGTACAAAGCCTTTACTACACAAAAAGAAGCCTTCTATGTTATTGTTCCTGGTAGATTTCCCGGTTGTTGTTTTTTTGTCTTAACAAAAAAAAAAAATAGAACAGCACTTGACTTGTCTTGTCAAAACAAAATCTTTTTTCGCGGGTTTAGAAGAATCCGGCGACTGTTTTTCAAAGTCGACGTTCTCAAGGACTCTTTGTCACAAAATATTCCCCAAGCCAGTTGCGGTATTCACTCATCATATCACTGTTCACAGAAATGTTCACGATATCCGTAAATAGTGTATTTTTCTGGCCGAATATACGAAAACAACGAAAGCTCTGTTGACGCAGGAAATCAATTATAATATTAACATATTATTATCTGTAGAATTGTTGTTATGTTTTAGCACCGTTGGGTTCTTCTCTCTCTCTCCCTGTCTGTCTGTCTGTCTGTCTGTCTGTCTGTCTGTCTGTCTGTCTGTCTGTCTGTCTCTCTCTTTCTCTCTCTCCCTTTTTCTCTCTCTCTCTCCCTCTCTCTTTTTCTCTCTCTCTCTCTCTCTCTTTCTCTCTGTGCCTCTCTTTCTTACTCCAAGTGTATAACATGTCTACATATTAGAGCGTGGGAGCTTTTTATACGAAGAGGGGTAGGGCTTATAAAGGCATGCAATACGGAGCAAATAAATCGTTTCTTCTTCAACTCCGGGGATTTTCCGAACAAGTGCGCATGTGTGTGTGTGTGTGTGTGTGTGTGTGTGTGTGTGTGTGTGTGTGTGTGTGTGTGTGTGTGTATGTGCTTATGTGTGTATGTGTGTGTGGGGGGGTGCGGTTTGTGGAATGTAATCCCCCCGATATCTATGAGGGTGTTTATTAGAGATAGCGAGTCGTATTAGATAGAGTGTGCGAAAACCATTAGAGAGAGAGAGAGAGAGAGAGAGAGAGAGAGAGAGAGAGAGAGAGAGTGAGGGAGAGAGAGAGAGAGAGAGAGAGAGAGAGAGAGAGACAGACAGACAGACAGAGACAGAGACACAAAGAGAGAGAGAGAGAGAGAGAGAGAGAGAAAGAGAGAGAGAGAGACAGACAGAGACAGAGACACAAAGAGAGAGAGAGAGAGAGAGAGAGAGAGACAGAGAGAGAGAGAGAGAGAGAGAGAGAGAGAGAGAGAGACAAAGAGAGAGAGAGAGAGAGAGAGAGAGAGACAGACAGACAGAGACAGAGACACAAAGAGAGAGAGAGAGAGAGAGAGAGAGAGAGAGAGAGAGAGAGAGAGAGAGAGAGAGAGAGGCGGGGGATAGAGTACACTATCGTCAAAATATAATATTATTTGTTGAACTATTTACCAAGCTTCAGTGAATTTCTCTTTGTGTAGATCAATAAAAAGGTTATCTTATAAATACACGTACATCGATCATCAAAGCCAGCTGTCTCGTACCCCCTC